TGAGCCTCTCCAGGTGTGACTCTTTCCCCCCCAAAAATAATAAATAGAAATAGCCAAAGATGCTGCATATCCCAACGGGAAAAGCAAACGGTGAAGGGGCTGGAGCTATGAAGTATAGCAGGGAGGGTGTTTGTCTTACATGTGGATTGGGTCCCAGCACCGCATATGGTCCCCTGAGCCCCACCAGGAGTGATGTCCTGAATGCAGAGCCAGGAGTAAGCCCTGAGCACCGCTGGGGGTGTGGCCCCCAAGCCCGTAAAAAAAAAAAAAAAAGCAAACAGTGGATTTATAAAGACCTAGTGGGACGGGTAGAACACTAGCATATTTTTTTAAATTTTATTTTTTAATATTTTTTAATGGGCTAGAGCGATAGCACAGTGGGTAGGGCGTTTGCTTTGTTCGTGCCAACCCGGGTTTGATTCCTCCATCCCTCTCTGAGAGCCTGGCAAGCTACCGAGAGTATCCTACCCGCGCGACAAAGCCTGGCAAGCTCCCCGTGGCGTATTCGATATGCCAAAAACAGTAACAACAAGTCTTGCAATGAAGACATTACTGGTGCCTGCTTGAGCAAATCGATGTACAACAGGAGGACAGTGCTACAGTGCTAATATTTTGCAATGAATCACCGGGAGATACAGTTACAGACTTACAAACTTCCATGATTATGTTTCAGTCATACAATGATCGAGTACCCGTCCCTCCACCCATGCCCATTCTCCACCACCAAAGTTCCCAGTATCCCTCCCACCACCCCCACCCCATCCCCCCGTGCCTCTGTGGCAGGCACATTCCCTTTTACTTTCTCTTTTTGGGTGTTATGGTTTGCAATACAGGTGGCCACAGAACAGGGTTTTTTGTTTTGTTTTGGTTTTGGTTGGTTTTGGGGCCATACCTGGTAATGCGCAGGACCATTTGGGATACCGGAGATCAAATCCATGTTGGCAGGTGCGCTACCCATTGTACTATCTTTCTGGCCCCTGGAGTTTTCCAGTTAGTTGTGGGATGAAGATGAGCTTTCCTGGAGATGTGTGTGTTCAACAAGGAGGGAACAGGAGTCGCTCTGCCCTAGTGGGTACCGAGATGGACTGTGTGGCCAAGGCCAGGATTTCAAAGCCGTACAAGTCTGTGAGAAAAACCACTTACTGGAGAATTCATTGACTTGGCCCTTGACCCCGGGTTTGTGCTTGAGAAGGCTGACAGACATCGGTGTCAGGGTTGGGGGGGACGTGCACCGGTGACTCAGCCTTGCATGTGGTTTCCTGGATTGCAGTGAGGGGGAATTGCAGCGGTGTGGGAGGAAGCGGGTGGTTTCTAGGACCCCGTGGCGTTCCGGGTCGGGGCACAGGCTCACAGAGCTTATGAGTGAGCTCTGGGGTGCACATTCACTGGGGTGCAGTTCACCCTGCTATTGCCCCATGCTCCCCACCCCTGGGTGTGCTCAGGGAACCCTCTGGGATGCCGGGAATCGAACCAGCATGGCGAGCGCCCTGTTCTGTACTCTCCAGGCCCAAGTAAATATACAGTTTTTACAGTTCTTCAAATAAGGTCTGGAGGCTGAAGCGACAGCACAGAGGGAAGGGCATTTGCCTTGCGCGTGGCCAACCTGGGCTCAATCCGCGGCATCCCAGAGGGTCCTCCGAGCACCACCAGGAGTGATTCCTGAGTACAGAGCTAGGTGGGACCCCTGAGCATCACCAGGTGTGACCCAAAAAGCCAAAACATAAAAAAATTTAAAAAACAAAACAAGATCTGGTTTATAGCCGTATCAGTAAGGCTTTGAAGCTACAGCCGGGGCCTGGAGCAGTAGTACAGCGGGGAGGGCATTTGCCTTGCACGTGCCCGACCCGAGTTCGATTCCCAGCATCCCATAGGGTCCCCCAAGCACCACCAGGAGTAATTCCTGAGTGCAGAGCCAGGAGTCAGCCCTGAGCATCACCGGGTGTGACCCCCCCCCCCCCCAAAGAAGAAATTACAGCCATACCTCACACAGAACAGACCATCTCTCTGCACAGCTCAGAACCAGGGTACGTTTTTTGCCACCCCTTAATAGCACAAGTGACTGTGAATCCCCGGTCTGTGAGGGAGTCATCCCAGAGTCTCCTTGGGATTCGCACAGCCCTCATAGATGATGGCTTTACACTCAGGAATCACTCCTGGCGGTGCTCTGGGACCCCTACGGGATTCCGGGGACTGAACCCCAGATGGCTGTGTGCCAGACAAACTCCCTCCCCACTGTACATTGACCCCAGCCCCCTGCTCTTAAATCTTTAGGGTCTGATGCTTACAAACTCGGAACCCTTCCTTGCAGTGTGAGGAGGAGGTGTTCTTAAACTATAGAAGAGTATAGCAGATGATAGCAAATGTTTAATAAATAGAACAACGAAAGCAGATTTGTTAGGTAACATTAGTGGGGCTCAGGGGATCACATGGGGTGCCAGGGACCGGACCCCCGTGGGCAACCGTGTGTAAGGCAAGTGCCTTAGCCCCTGTTACTGTCTCTGATGCCCCTGGGCTCTGAGAGCTGGTGCAGAGGTAGGAGTTGGGATCTCTAGGGCCCCCAGGAAATGTGGCGGCAGAGTGGGCCGCTCCCCTGCAGTGGGGGAAGTTGCCCGGTTTCTGGGCGGGGGCGGGAGGGGGACAGCCAGCTGAGAGACCCGAACCTCAGTGGGAGAGGACAGAGGGTCCAGAGTCCAGGCAGCCCCCCGCGTGGGTGGTGGTGAATCATTACCCCATGAAGACATCCGGACACTGTGTCATCCTCACGAGAACTCCGGGAACCGGGCATGGGGAGGTGGGGGGTGGGAAGGAATGCAGATGAAGAGGTGCAGGGGGCAGGACACCCCCCCCCCCACCATGGGTCTGTTCTGTGCCAGTGAACGCTCACTCAGCCGGATAAATGCCCCCAGGGGGTGGGGGGTTGGGGCAGAGGTGTGCTGTGTAGGTCGTGTATATTCAGGGGTTCCTGGGACTATAAAAGATGCAGGTGACATATACACAGATACTGTTGTTTCTTTGTTTTATTTTTAAAAATTTTATTGATTTATTATTTATTTTTGAATGAATCACTGTGAGGTGCAGTTGCAGACTTATAAACCTTCGTGCTTACGTTTCAGTCATACAACAATGATTGAGTGCCCATTGTTTGTTGTTTGTTGGTTGGTGATGCCCAGCTGTGTCCAGGGCTTCTAAGGGCCCCCCACTTGCCCTACGACTTCTCCACCCCCACAGCTGGTAAAAGTTTGGGGATTGGACTTCAATCCTGGCATGGCACTCAGGGATCACTCCTGGCAGTGCTGGGCGGAGTGGGGGTGGGGTGGGGGAGAGCTCCTATAGGATCGCACTGTAGCACTGTCCTCCCGTTGTTCATCGGTTTGCTCGAGCGGGCCCAGTAACTTCTCCGTTGTGAGACTTGTTGTTAATTGTGTTTGGCATAGCGACTACGCCACGGGGAGCTTGCCAGGCTCTGCCGTGCGGGCGAGATACTCTCGGTAGCTTGCCAGGCTCTCCGAGAGGGGCGGAGGAATTGAACTCGGGTCGGCCGTGTCGGCCTGTACAAGGCAAACGCCCTACCCGCTGTGCTATCGCTCCAGCCCACGGCCATACCATCCTGAGTGCACCCGATCTCGTCTGATCTCCTATAGGATGCTGGGGACTAAACTCAGCTCGGCTTTGTGCAAGAGAAGCAAGAGCCCTATCCACTGCATTGCTGTCCCCTCCCCCCCCACAGTTGATATTTAATAATGATAAGCACAGGCTGTTATTGGTTTTGTTTTTTTTTTTTTAATTTTTAATTTATTGAATCACCATGAGAACAGCCACAAAGCCTTTCAGTTTAAGTCTCGGTCGGTCAGACAGTGATCAAACACCCATCCCTTCACCAGTGCACATTTCCCATCACCAAGAACCCCAGTATACCCCCCCCCAACCCCTCTCTGTGCCCGTGTGGCAGATTTCCAATTGACCTTCTCTCTAAGTTGATCACATTCAATATTACGACAAATGATCCGCCATTATTATTTGGAATTTCCCCCAACAATCAGACCTGCCAAAAAGACATCTTAAATCATTTGTTTTCTGTTGCTGATTATGAAGCGCATATGATGTCCATATGATTTTGGATTTTTGATATTTTAGTAATAAGTCTGGAGGGATTACTGAGCACAGGCTGTATTGTTACACGGTTCACAGCGTCTTAGAAATCCGCTTTGTTCCTGAGATGCCCGCCTGGCTATGCAAAGCCTCAGATCCTTTCAATATATTTGGGTTTGGGTTTCGTTCTTTTTTGGGGGGGGATGGACATGGGGTGGGGGTATCCATATTCAGCAGTGCTCAGGCGCTGTTCCTGGCTCTGTGCTCAGAAGTACCCCCGGGCAGTGTTAAGGGGACCCTGTGTGGTGTGGGGGATTCAAACCCTCCTGACCACATTCCCCACCAGCGCCCTCCCTGCTGTGCCATTTCTTGCCCATCGCCCCAACTTTTCTAAGTGGGCATCATTTTATGTGGGGGTGTGTGTGAGGGGCCATACCCAGCAGTGCTCAGGGCTGACTCCTGGCTCTGTGCTCAGGGATCACTCCTGGCAGACACGGGGACCCTATGGGGTGCCGGGGATTAAATCGGGCTGCCGTGTGTGTGTGTGTGTGTGTGTGTGTGTGTGTGTGTGTGTCCTCCCCGCTGTACTCTCTCTCTTTCCCTCTCCCCTCTCTCCTGATCTCCTCTCTCCGTCCAACTCTCTCTGTCTCTCTGTCTCTGTCTGTCTCTGTCTGTCTGTCTGTCTCTCTCTCTCTCTCTCACCCCCTCGATCCCCCTCTCTCTATCCCCCCAACTTTGGGTGAGGAATTGGGCCCGTGAGCGCGTGCCTGTAGGGGGCTGGCTGGTCACTTCCTGACGGGAATTCTGGGGCAGTTCCTTGTTGTTGTTTTGACTTCTGGGCTCAGCCTTGTGTTTTCTCCAGCTTGCTTCTGTGCCCGGGGACTACAATGCTTCGCTTCTTTTCATTCCAGTAACTAGCCCGGCTAGTCCAGCCACTACTCGGACGCCCAGGCCCGAGCTACAGCCTTCCACCTGGCAGGAGCCCAGCCCCGCACCCCCCACCAGCTCCCCGTCACCCTCCTGCCTTCCAGGTAACTCCTCTTCCCAGGCGGCACTCTCAGGGGCGTCCTGGGTGGGCCCACCCGAGGGGTCCTCTGGATGATGACAGGTGACCTCTGCCCGGTCACCCGGAAGACCTTTTGCAGGCCCGAAGATGGGGCTGGGGTACCCGCAGTGGGACTCCCAGGGGTTAGCACTGGGCCTTGAGCATATGCCTGTTGCTGTTGTGGCCTAAGGGGGTTCACGCTGAGCCCCCAGGATGCTTGTGGGGCCACGAGGATCTGGAGCCCAGGGCCTGTGAGGGTGCCTGGTCGGTGCCTTGGCAGTCCAGTGTCCACTCAGGATGTCCACTGGGGGGCCTGGGGACTGGCCAGTGTGGCCCTTGCCTGGTGCAGTCTTGGTTCAAAGATGTGGCTCAGTTCTGGTTCCCTTGGGGTCAGATGCGGCAAAAACCCAAGTAGAACTTTTGCTTTTTTTGGGGGGAGGGGTCACACCCGGCGATGCACAGGGGTTACTCCTGGCTCTTCACTCAGGAATTACTCCTGGTGGTACTCAGGGGACCATATGGGATGCTGGGAATCGAACCCGGGTCACCGTGTGCAAGGCAAATACCCTCCCCTCTGTGCTATCACTCTAGCACCCCCTGGTGCAGCTTTTGGGGTCCCGAGTGAGCCATTCCCTGCTGTCTGTTCCATCCTGGGTTTCTGCGCCCCTGTGACGCAGCTCAGGGACGCTTCTTTGGGGGGAGTGGGGCGGTGGGCACCAAACCTGGTGGCATTCAGGGTTTCCTCCTGGCTCTGCGCTTGGATCCCTCCTCTGGACCCGGTGGGGTGCCAGGGATTAAGCCTGGATCAGCTCAGGCATGTGCCAGGCCAGCACCCTCCACACCTCCAGCCTTTTTTTTTTTTAATTTCTTTCTTCTTTCTGGTTTTTGGGCCACACAGGCAGTGTTCAGAACGAACTCCTGGCTCTGTGCTCAGGGAGGACTCTTGGATCTGTGCTCAGGGATCACTCGTGGTGGGTCTCTGGGGATTGAACCCAGTTGACCGCATGCAAGGCAAACAGCCCCCACCCCACCCCCGCTGTACGCTGTACTCTCTCGCTACTCACTGTGCTTTCACTCTGGCTTCCCCTCAGAGACTTTTTTTTTTTTTTTGCTTTTGGGTCACACTCGGCGATGCACAGGGGTTACTCCTGGCTCATGCACTGAGGAATTACTCCTGGCTGTGCTCGGGGAACCATATGGGATGCTGGGAATTGAACCCGGGTCGGCCACATGCAAGGCAAACGCCCTTCCCGTTGTGCTATCGCTCCAGCCCCTCAAAAGCTCCTTGAGGCAGGCCAGTCATCAACACGGGGGACCGAAGCCCCCACCCCACCCCCCAGCCTTTCCTAACGCCCTTAGGCCCCCCTCGAGGGGAGTGAGTGGCTAAGGGCCTGCACCCCACCCACCCCACCTTCGCCTCCCTGTCATGCCCCTTTCCTGGAAGCAGATCTGGGGGTGCAGGCAGACCAGAGTGACATTCACGGTGATCAGACCGTGGTGACATTTGGTGTCGAGAGTGGAATTCCTTGGCAGGCGCTTGAAAAGACAGTGAGAAGAGATGATGGTTCCCAGGCGGCAGCCGCAGGGTTGTGGGATCAGGAGGAGCCTGAGATATGGTGACTTGCGCAGAGCTTTCTAGAACAGGTGTGGTCGTGTCCCACCCACCCTCACCCCCCCACGAGGGTTGGCTGCAGGGGCAGACCCCCCAAGCCTGGCTGAGTCACTGACGCCCTCCCATAGCAAGGCTGGGACAAATGAGTGTGTGACTGCAGCCCCATTTCCTGTGGCAGTGGTGGGTTCCGTGAAACCGCCCCCCACAATCTTCTCGAGGCTTTTTTTGGGGGGGGCGGGTGCACACTTGACGATGCTCAGGGATTCCTCCTGGCTCTGCACTCAGGATCACTCCTGGTGGTACTTGGGGGACCCCTGTGGGATGCCAGGAATGGAACCCGGGTTGTGCAAGGCAAACACCCTCCCTGCTGTCCTATCTGCAGCCCCGGAGCTGGTTCTGATGGGTGTCCACCTCGGGGAGCCCCGAGACTGGGCTTTGGAGAGAGGCGGCCCCCTGCCCTCAGCATCCCCCTGACTCCTCCGGACTTGTCCTTGTGCCTGAGAAAGGGCTGTGTGTTGACTGAGGTGCCGCTCCTCGGCCCTCTGACACCCCTAGGTCAGGCCACCAGCAACTGTCCCGTCCTCCCCTCCCTGTGCCCTTGAGGTCCAGCATCTGTGGGAGGTGAGGGGCGTGATTCGTGGTACCTGGGGACCCCCACAAACCCAGGGTGGGGGCGTCTTGTCTTCCTGTGTCAGGACAAGGGTCACTGTCCTACTTACATGGGTATAAACCTCGGCCATGCCACCACGTGTGTGTGTGTGTGTGTACGTGTGAGTGTGAGTGTGTGTGTGTGAGAATGTGAGAGTATGTGAGTATGTGAGTGTGTGTGTGTGTGTGTGCACATCAGGTACCCCATCGCAATGCCATTACTAAATAGACTCCCATCCCTGCACTTCCTGCTACCCTCTAAGTCCTGCCCAGCCACCCAGGCAGACTGGACTGTGCATGTGGCCTGCAGGGACATCAGGATCACAGACGGTTTAGTCTAAAAAAAAAAAAGAGGCATTGAGTGGCAACCATGTTTGGTCTATAGTCTACTTTCAGCATGCATCTCCCATCCTGGGAGGATCCTCCCAATACCCTTTATTTGGTGCTCCCTTCTCTACCTGAGATGCCTTCTCCCCCAGCATGTTCGACTGGCCTCCAAGCCATGGAGTGAACCTCCTGGTACTTATCTGGCTATTCTTGGGTGTTAGTCTCCTATTTTGTTACTTTATGTTCCCCAGATGAATGCAATCTTTCTATGTCTGTCCCTCTCTTTCTGACTCATTTCGCTTAGCATGATGCTTTCCATGTAGTACCACTTGTATGTAAATTTCATGACTTCATCCTTTCTAACAGCTACATAGTACCCCATTGTGTAGATGTACCAAAGTTTCTTTTGCAAACCACAGCACTCAAAAGGAGAGAGAGAACAAAAGGGAATGCTCTGCCACAGAGGCAGGGTGGGATGGGGGGGGGGTGTGGGGTGGGAGGGACACTGGGATCAGTGGTGGTGGAGAATGGGCACTGGTGGAGGATGGGTACTTGATCATTGTATAACTGAAACCCAAGCACAAAAGTTTGTAAGTCTACAACTGTACCTCATGGTGTTTCACTAGTAAAAATTAAAAAAAAAAAAACACCCAGGGTCTGGCCCTTGTGCATGATGGGATATAGACGTGGAGGCGGCCCACGGCCCATCTGCTTGTGTGACCTGGGACTGATGCTGTACATGTCCAAAGTGCCTTGGTTAGGGACAAGGTTTTTCCCCCATGTGGCCCCTTAAAGTGCTTTTGGGAGCCAGAGCCTCAGTGCAGCTGGGAGGGCACTCACTTGCCTGGCCCGAGCATCGCCAACTGTGACCCCTAAGTGCAGAACCCAGGGAAGCCCTGAGCATCGCCAGCTGTGGCCCCCAAACAAAAGAAAAACCACCCCCAAAAGTGGTCACAAGGGCCCAAGGCGGAAGCGCGGTGGTTATGTGAAAGTGAGTTGGCTGGGTGGTCATGGTGTGGCCGTAGGGCGTGTGGGTGCTCGGGACGGCCACTGCAGACCTGTGGTAGTGAGGGCTGCGTGGGGTGAGGCTGGGGGACACAAGTGGGGACCTGGAATGGGGGGAGGGGGAGGAGGGATCTTGGGGGCTGGAGTGATAGCACAGTGGGGAAGGCGTTTTCCCCTAGCATGTGCAGCTGTTTCCCCTTGTACATGGCTGACCCGGGTTCGATCCCTGGCATCCCATAGGGTTAATTATCCAATTAAATTTTCAAAATTCAGCTATAGCACAGCGGGTAGGGCATTTGCCTTGCGTGCGGCCGACCTGGCTGACCCAGGTTCGATTCCTCCGCCCCTCTCGGAGAGCCCAGCAAGCTACCAAGAGTATCTCGCCCGCGCGGCAAAGCCTGGCAAGCTCCCCGTGATGGATTTGACATGCCAAACACAGTAACAACAAGTCTCAAAATGGAGACGTTACTGGGCCTGCTCGAGCAAATCGATGAACAACAGGAGAACAGTCTCTTGAACTGGAGCAATAGCACAGCGGGTAGAGTGTTTGCCTTGCACACGGCTGACCCAGGTTCGGTCCCCGAGCACTGCTAGGAGTAATTCCTGAGTGCAGAGCCAGGAGTAACCCCTGTGCGTCGCCAGGTATAACCCAAAAAGGAAAAACAAAAAATCTCTCAAAACTCTTTGGGTCAGAATCTCGGCCCAGCATCCTGAAACATAGGTGGGTCCTTCCAGCTATTTTTTTCACCCCCTGCAGAATATGATTCAGCTTTTCATTTTTACATCTTTTATTTTTTTTGAGAGGGGGAGGGGGTCACTCCTGGCTGTGATTCTTTGCCACCTGTTTTGGCTGTCGGCCACTGCAGAAGCTTTAGGCAGTGTTTGGTGTGTCTCTGCCTTTGTTTTTGCCACAAAGATAGCACAGCGGGGAGGGCTCTGGCCTTGCACGCAGTCGACCCAGGTTCGATCCTCGACATCCCCATAGGGTCCTCCCCCAAGCACCACCAGGAGTGATCCCTGAGCATCGCCAGTTGTGACCCCTAAACAAAAAAACAAAAATATATATATTATAAAAGAAGTTAAGCCTAGTTGGCAAGACAGTATAGCAATAGCCTGGCTGATTTAATTTGCCCCTGCAACAATGTGGCAATTCTTGGCCTTGATCACTGACACTCAGATCCTGCCTCTCAGTCAGCCCTGGAAGGCAGCTCGGCTGGTCTGGGTGTCTGCAGAGAGAAAGCCTACAAAGTGAGGCTTGTCTGTCATCCTCATGCATTTTCCCTGATGTTTCGAGCAGATGGGAATGGCACGGACGTGGTGACGCAGACGTGGGACGACGCCTGGCGTGAGAATCAGACGGTGAGTATGTCACTGCCTCTTCATTCGCCCTGGGCTTGTCCTGAGCGCACCAGGCCCACGGCTAGCCTGCCTGACGACAAGCGTCATGTGTTGTTGGAAAGGGAAGGAAGTCAGTGCAGGGGCTCCTCCCCAGGGCTCTTAGGCTCATCCCTGGAGCTCTAGGTGGGCCAGTGCCTTGGGGAGGCCTGAGAAAGAGGTATTTTGTATCACTCCCACCATGCATGCTGGATAGAGATTTTTGTCCTGGATTTAAAACAAAACAGAATGTGTGTGTGTGTGTGTGTGTGTGTGTGTGTGTGTGTGTGTGTGAGTTTTAGGTAAAACATGTCCGGAAGGGGCTAGAGCAAGGCCCACCCAGGTTCAATCACCGGCATCCCATAGGCTCCCCGGAGCACCGCCAGGAGTAATTCCTGAGCACAGAGCCAGGAGTAACCCATGTGCATCACCGGGTGTGACCCAAAAAGATAAGAAAAAAAAACACAGCCATGTTGGGAACTGAGAGGGCAGCAAGGTCTGGCACCTGCGCTTGGTCCAGGTCTACCCTGAGCATCGCTGGGTGGGGCCCCAGACCCAAAAGAGAAACGTATCGCAGGAGGTTTGGCCTAAAACCACACTTTCATTTCTGAGTGTCAGCGATGCATAAAGGAAAACAGAAGTCACGTAGAGCCCCGGTATCTGGAAGTAACCTGTTAAAACAGTTTTCTAGAACAAAAGAGTGTTTAGGGGGGTGGGGGTGGCTGGTGGAGGCTCCCAGGGCCATTTCTGGTCATACGCGGTTTTGTTATTTTGGGTTTTTGTCCATACCTGGTGATGCTCAGAGGTTACTCCTGGCGGTGTTCAGGGGCCCCTATGGGATGCCGGGCATGGAACTCTGGTTGGCAGCGTGCACGGCAAATGCCCTCCTCGCTGGACTATCTCTCCAGGCCCCCTGTTGATACTTGCATTTTACTTGGGGCAGGGGAGGAGGAGCTGGGAGGGCGAAGATGCAACCTGGTGGTGCTCAGGGCTGACTCTTGGCTCTGTGCTCACGGCTGACTCCTGGCACCGTGCTCAGGGTTGACTCCTGGTTCTGTGCTCAGGGCTGATTCCTGGCACTGCGCTCAGGGGATCACTCCTAATGGGACTTGGGGATTCTATGCAGTGCCGGGGAGCAAACCAGAGTTGGCTGGGTGCAAGCCTAGCACCTTAACTCCTGTGCTCTCTCTCGACCCTCCTGGTGATAGGATACGTGACCTTCTGGGCGTGGCCTGCTGGGGTTGGGTGGGATGGGGGCTCCCTCAAGAAGCTAGCAGGAGAAACAGGGTCCAGAGGAGACCCTCGGCGATGTACTTCCCACCGTAACCAGTTGCCATCTGCTCCTGACTGTGTTCTTAGCTCACGTCGCTGGCCCAGAACCCATGGAAGGTGACCAGCAGGGGACTCTACATTGGCCTCTCCATCACAGCAGCGGTGCTGGTCACCATTCTGGTGGTCCTGGTCACTAAGAGTAAGTCCTTGTAAGCCTTGAGCCCACCTGGGGCCTGAGATGGCAGCTCCCTGGGGCTCCGGGCAGCGGCCCTGGCTCTCTCTCTCTCTCTCTCTCTCTCTCTCTCTCTCTCTCTCTCTCTCTCTCTCCCTCCCTCCCTCCCTCCCCCCATCCCTTTTCTCTTCTTCTTGGGCTTGTGAAGAGCAAAGGGGAGGATAAGAGAGATGGGGATTCTCTAGCGGAACACAGGACCATGAGGCTTGGGTAGACAGGGTCAGGTGTCAGCCTTGCCCAGTGCCCTGTTCCGGCCCTCCCCTCCCCTCCCCTCCCCTCCCCTCCCCTCCCCTGATCCTCTCCCCACAATGGAGCGGAGGGCAGTGGAGGGAATAGGGCAGGTTTCCCCTCCTGGGTCACCCATAATGGGGTACAGGCGGTGGGGTGTGAGGCAGTCTAACAGCACCCACAGGCAGCAGAGACATGGGGGTGAGGGCAGACATTAGCACTTTGACTGGCCAAAGGGACCCACACATCCCTAACCCCCACCTCCCACTGGTTTTTTGGTTTGGAGGGATGTTTGTTTGTTTGTTTGTTTGTTTGCTTTTGGGGTCATACCTGGTGATGCTCAGGGGTTCCTCCTGGCTATGTACTCAGGGATCACTCTGGCAGTGCTCAAAGGACCCTATTGGATGCCTGGGGGTCAAACTAGGGTCGACCACATGCAAGTCAAACCCCCTACCCGCTGTCCTATCCCTGTGACCCCTCTGTTCGCTTGAAAGACCTTGTTTGAAGAGACCTTCCAGAACCTTCCATTGACCCACTTCCTTTTCTTTTCCCCAATGCAGAGCACTTGCTCCTGAGGAGGAAGCAGCAGCAGCTGAGGTAGGTGGGGCTGGTTGCACCTCGGGGTCTGGCCAGCTGCCACCCAGGGAGGTTCCTCAGTGCCTCTCTTCATCCTTGTCTTACCCTCTGTGCCCGAAGCTCTCCCAGAGGTGCTCCCAGTCCTCAGCACTTCCTGTTTCATTTCCTGGGCACCCACCCAGTCGATCCTCATGCACGGGGAGAGAAGCGTTCGCCTCTTTCCTCACGGAACTTTCCAGAGTCTCCTTCAGTGCTTAGGGTGGGGATGTGAGTGGAAGGTCTGGGGTCTGCCAGAGAAGTCAGCAGGGAGACCACCACAGGGTCTGTTTGTCTGTCTGCGAGCCTGCCTGTCTGTCTCTCTGTCTCTCTGTCTCTCTCTTTCATACACACACATGCTCTCAAACTCGACTCACACTTACACATTCACACGAATACACTCACTCACTTGCATGCACATCTATGCAATACGATAGTATTCACAATCTGACACTCACATTCATTCATACCTGTACTCACACTCACATTCTCACGCGCACTCCCGTGTATGCTCACCACACTCACACTTTTCTCATACACTCACACACTCCTACACGCACTCACGTTACCTAGTCACTCTCATGCACTCATGTTTATACACACCACGTTCAGTCCTGTACACGCTCACACACACTCACACCCACTCACTCATACACTCACTCCCAGTACTCAGATACTCACTGTCATTCACTCTTGTACACATCGCATTTGCAGTCTTAATGTACTCTCACACTGACACACTCCTACACATTCATAGACACACTTATAACACCAATACACTCACTCTCACACACTTACATATACCAGTCTTAGAGACTCTCACACATGCTCACATATTCTCACACACTCATTCACATCATGCACACACTCACACATGTATATATACTCACAATACTAACTCTCTCTCTGGGGAAAAGCAACTTTGGGACTGATGGTCCATCCATTCCCTGTGAACTGTTTTTTTTGGGGGGGGTCACACCTGGCGATGCAAAGGGGTTACTCTTGGCTCTGCACTCAGGAATTACCGCTGGCAGTGCTCAGGGGACCCTATGGGATGCTGGGAATTGAACCCGGGTCGGCTGTGTGCAAGGCAAGCGCCCTACCTGCTGTGCTATTGCTCAGCCCCCCGCCCCCGCCCCGTGAACTTTTAAAATTTTATTTATATATTTTATATTTAAAATTATCTTTGGGGGTTTTGGGCCACACCTAGTGATGCTCAAGGGGTTCCTCCTGGCTCTGCATTCAGGAATTACTCCTGGTGGTGCTTGGGGGACCCTATGGGATGCCGGAGATTCAACCTGGGTCAGCTGCATACAAGCTGCATACCCCCTTCCCACTGGACTATTGCTCCAGCCTCTTAAAGGTCCACTTTGAAGCACGTGCTTATCCGGGAACCTACTCCAGAGAAGGCTGTCAAATAGAAATAAGCAAAAATGCAAAACCCAACCCCCACAATGCAGAGAGCAAACATTTCCCAGTGATGTCATCGGGATCCGAGGGCTCGGACCCTAGGCTCCTCCAGAGCTAATGGCATTACACCAGGGCCAAACATTGGGCTTTTTAACTATTGGTCATTAAGTGAATTAAATTTAATTCGTCGGACACTGCCATCATCCATGACTATGCTAATTACTGACCGAGGTATTGCATCATTATTACAATCATTGTTACATAAATGATGTTATAAGTACCACCGCCAGTGATGGTCCTTTACTCAGTCATTGACTTTGTAATGATTGGTCATCGAATTAAGGACCTTGAAGCCCAGATGGTGACTATGGCGCAGTGTTCTGGGCGGGTTGAGCTTAGGGAGAGTCACCAGCCGCCAACTGTCACATTCTGACTGTGGTGTGTGCTAGGCCCCATGCCCCAGAGCATGCTAGTGAGAAGGGTGGCAGTGTGACGCCTTGGTTCTGCTCCCACATTTGATCGCCTGCACCCCTCGAAGACAGGAAGTAGGTCACTAACCGGGCTTAAGAATCTGCTTCATTGCAGGCATGGGAGGGGGTGCTGGAGCCATAGTCCAGCGGGGAGGGGTTGACCTTGCATGTTGCTGACCCAGGTTGAATCTCCAACATCCCATAGTGTTAAAAAAAAAAAAGGATCTCTTTGAGGGGCCAAAGCAATAGATAGCACAGCGAGGAGGACATCCATCTTACACAGCCAATCTGGTTCCATCCCCGGCACCCCATAGAGTCCCCCAAGTAGCGCCAGGAGTAATTTCTGAGTGCAGAGCCAGGAGGAACCCCTGAGCATCACTGGGTGTGACCCCAAAAGAAAGAAAAATGAAAGAAGAGTAAAAAAAGGAATGAAAGAGAGAAAAAGAAAGAAAAGAAAAGAGAAAGAAAGAAAGAAAGAAAAGAAAAGAAAAGAAAGAAAAGTTAAGGGCCTAGAGCAATAGTACAGTGGGGAGGGCATTTGCCTCGCATGTGGCCGACCCAGGTTTGATCCCTGGTATCCCATAGGGTTTTTGATCCAAAAAGGTAATTAACCCCTGGGTATCACTGGTGTGACCCCAAAACAACAAAGAATCTGCCTGAAGGCTGTTAGACACCAACCCAGAACACGCACCTCGACTTTGTCACCCCAACTAAACTCAGGCTAGTTTCTCCGCTGGGCATCCGGGCTGGGTCTGAGACCTGTCTCTGTAACCAGTGTCATCGGATGTAATTTGATGACATGCGGCGGTTGCGGCTATGGAGTCTGGCCTGAGATGTGGCTCATACTTGGATGCCCTGTTGGGAGGCGTGTACCACTGGTGGCTCACACTATTTTTTTTTCTGGGGGGGTGCAGGGGGGCCCACACCCAGCGGTGGCCAGGCTGACTGCTGGCTCTGTATGCAGGGCCCTACTACCTGACAGGGCGCTACTACCACACGTGGTACCAGGGATCGAACCTGGGTTAGCTGAGTGCAAAGCAAATGCCCTACCTGCTGTACTATCGCTCTGGCTCCTCATCTTTTTAATTAATTAATTAATTAATTAATTTTTTGCTTTTTGGGTCACACCCGGCGATGCTCAGAGCTTACTCCTGGTTCTGCACTCGGGAATTACTCTTGGCGGTGCTCGGGGGACCCTATGGGATGCCGGGGATCGAACCCAAGTCACCTGTGTGCAAGGCAAACGTCTTCCCCACAGACTATCACTCTGGCCCCCACATTAAGGTTTTTTGTTTTATTTTATTTGGGCGCCACGTCCAGCAGTGCTCATAGCTGACTGCTGGCTCTGCACTTGGGGATCAGAACTCTTGGCAGTGCTCAGGGGGGCCCTATGGGATGCCAGGGATTGAACCCAGGTTGGCTGCATGCTCAGCGAGCGCCCTCCCCACCGTGCTATGGCTCTGGCTCCTGACCATCTGTTTCTCTCTGCAGCATGGTGACCCTGCACAGCCCCCCGATGACAGCCTTGCAGAGCGCGGCTGCGGCTCGGGTCCGAGCGGAAGACAATATCTACACAGTGGAGGACAACCCCTACGTCGTGGACTAGGCCAGGCCCCGTGGACTCCGGCAACCCCCTCCTCGGGCCCCCCCATGCCGTTCTAATCCACACACCCTGCGGTGTGGGACCCCAAAGGAGAGTCACGAGCACAGTCCCCACGCCTGGAAACCGAGGCACCACACTTCCACACACTCCTGCGGGAAGCGGAACGTTCTGGAACTGTAGATTCACTTTAGACACTCCTCTTCCACCCCCCACATCCCTTTAGAGCCCCCTTTTGAGGAGAGAGGCAAGGAACTTTCAGTTTGGGTACCCCTGCACATCCATCTGGCTGTGGGGGACTGGAGACCCCCTGGGAAGCATTTCAAGATTCCCCGTGTTTTTTTCATTTTGCATCTTCAGGAATTAACATCTGGGAGGGTCTCCCTCTTTTTTTTTTTTTTTATTTCCCTCTGGTTTCTGAGAGGGCACAGAGATGGGCTCACTGGACCTTGAGCTGTGGGCGATGTCACGGTGATGAGCAGCTGGGCCCCTCCTGGACCTGGAAGCAGGGGGTGTGTCTCTCTTTCTGGAATCTGCCTGGACCAAGTGCCTGGAAGGACCAAGCAGATCCTGGGAGTGGGAAGAGGGGGCAGGCAGGGACAGCATCAATGACACTGTGATCGCTGATCCTTTGTGCTGTGTCCTGGGTGTTTGTAGGCACGCAGAGACCTGTCAGCCCTTTGGGGGAGAGGCAGCTGTCCTGTGTGTGAGATCAAGAATCTTGGCCAGAATCGGGAGTGGGTTCAGGGTCCAGAGTGACAGCCCAGCAGGGAGGGCACTTACCTTGCATGTGGCATGTGGCCCACCCGGGTTCGATCCCCACTGGCACCCCATAGGATCCCCTCATCCCCCGAGCCCCGCCAGGGGTGATCCCTGAGTGCAGAGCCAGGAGGAAGCCCTGAGCATCGCTGGGTGCGGCTCCAAAACAAACCAAACGCTAGAATTGGCGGGGGGAGCAGGTAGCAGGTGTCCTTTCATGGGAAGGCTATTTGCTAACTGATGGTGAGCGTCTTAAAGGGTGGCTGCTTTCGAAGGAAATTCAAAAAATGGCCCCGTTGAAACACTTTGAAATATTTCCGTTTGGGGGGGGGCAGGGGGGGAATGAAAGGATAAAGGGGCTATTGTTTGTTTAAGTACCGCATCATTTGTGATGCTGAGCCTTTTCTTCCATTTTTGGTTGTTGAGGGGGGTTGACCGCAGATGCGAAAGGTCAGGTCGTTAGTCACTGGAATCCCCGCCTGGAGACCTGTGAGTCCTGCCCCCCACAGCCTGGGCACCTGTGGAAACGTTGAAATGATTCATACTCACACCAACACATCTAAGTGTTGAGACGGCTGGGGGTCGAAGGGTTGGAGGGTGGCGTCTAAGGAGATAGGTTTCCCAGAGTGACAGGAAGCGGACACTAGCTTGTCATTTGCAGAAGGAAGTTTCTGTGGGCACTTGCTGGGGTTGGGAGGAGGGGGTGTAGGGGAAACCCGGTACAAGGTCCCACCTGGCCCTGCGTAAACTCAGCCCCCCTCACTTTCAAAATCAAGCCCCAGGGGTGTGGGGCTGTGAGTCAGAGCCAGCTCTAGCTGTCCCGGAAAGACCCCAGTCCTTTGCGGCTGGCCCCCTTTATTGGGACAGTGGTGTCACCGGCCACCCCTTCCCAACCCCCCACCCTGTGATCGTCACCTCATTTTTTTTTTTTTTGCTTTTTGGGTCACACCCGGCGATGCACAGGGGTTACTCCTGGCTTTGCACTCAGGAATTACTCCTGGCGGTGCTCAGGGGACCATATGGGATGCTGGGAATTGAACCTGGGTCAGCTGCATGCAAGGCAAACGCCCTACCCGCTGTGCTATGGCTCCAGCCCCTTGTCACCTCATTTTTTAATTTTTTGTTTTTGCCTTTTGGGTCACACCCATGATGCTCAGGGATTACTCCTGGCTCATGCACTCAGGAATTACTCCTGGCAGTGCTCGGGGGACCCTATGGGATGCTGGGACTCGAACCCAGGTCATCCGCGTGCGAGGCAAACGCCCTGCCCTCTGTGCTATCGCACCAGCCCCATCATCTAATTTAAGCGCCAGATCCTGACTCCCGTTTTCTTTTTGGAGAAGATATTTGGGTGCCCAGGGCTTGCTCCTATCTCTGTGCTTGGGGATCCCTCTTCTCAGTGCTCAGAGGTCCTAGTGGCTAGTTCTGGGATCATAGTGGAGTCAGCCCCATGGTAAGGCCACATCTGAGCCCCTGTTGCATTTCAGTGCACCCCCCACTCCCACATACTGTTTTCTGCCGTGTTCTGACACGGGCTGCATAGAAGGTTCTAGGCCTCTGGTCACCTTGGCCTGAGCTGAAACTGCTCCAGGCTCATTTGAAACCCACGAGCGCCGCCAACCCCAGGACCTTGAGCTGTCTTCTTAGGAAGTCGCGATACCCATGGGGTGGGACAGGTGGGGTGAGTCAGCACAAAGCCCAGGAAACGCAGAAACTCTAGAAAAATGGAATTTGTTTCAGCAGGATTTGCCCTCCCAGCGTTCTCACATGTGTGTGTGTGGTTTTAGGAAGTATGATACCTTAAAAAAAATTTTTTAAGTCGGCTGGAGTGACTTAAACAGCGGGGAAAACATTTGCCATGCACGCAGCCAACCCGGATCGCTGATCCCTTGCACCGATTAATTTAAGGTCCCCTGAGCCCTGCCAGGGGTGAACCCTGAGCGCAGAGCTGGGAGACGCCCCCCAGGAAATAATTTAAAAATCTTTTTTAATTTTAAATTTTATTCATGGATTTTATTCATGGGGGTGGGGCCACACCCGGCGGTGCTCAGGGCTGGCTTCTGTCTCAGCTCAGGGATCCCTCCTGGTGGGGTCAGGGGACCATAGGGGATGCCAGGGGTTGAGCCCTGGTTGGCCTGGGTGCAAGCCCCACCCACCTGTTGTGTGGTCACACGGCCCCTTTTTAAAAAAACGGTTTTGATGAGCATCTCTCTTCTGGAAAAGTTGGCAGGGGCTGATCTAGTTCGCATTTCAGTGCCCATAAGGGAGTCTGGGTTGCAGGGAAGGAAGAGGAGATAATCAGCTAAACACACACACACACACACACACACACACACACACACAACACTATCTCTCCCTTCCCTTTCTCTTCTCTCTCCCTCTCTTCTATCTCCTCTCTTTCCTCTCTCTCCTCTCTTATCTCTTCTCTCTCTTTCCTCTCCTCCTTTTCCTCTAACCTCTCTCCCCCTCTCTATTCTTTCTCCTCTCCTTTCTCTTCTCTCTCCTCTCTCTTTTCTCTATCTCTCCTCTCTCTCTCTCCCCCCTCCCCCTCTCCCTCCCTCCCCCTGAGAATGTACCAGTCATGTAGGTGAGGGTGACGTTGCATTTGTATTTTCTGTGCACATGTTGGCTTTTGGTTGGAGCCCCTGAGACCATTGAGGGTCCACCTTACCCGGGTCTGTCTCGACGTCCAGGCTGGATGTGTCCCCCTAAATGTTGGTGGACCTTATTGCGCTCATCCTCAGAGATGTGCTGAGCCTGCTCTCTGCCGAGTTTGTACACACATGCGTGAATAAAAGAACCTCATCTTCCTTCTGGAAACGACTTGTTTCTTGGGGGGTGGGGGGAGATGGGGGAACCCGTGGGTGCTGGCGACAGAGCCCGGACTCCTGGTCCCCGGAATCCTGGTCACGGGGCGCACGGGACTTGGGAGAGAGACACTGCTGAGTGGGTCCACCCTGCCCCCACAGCACCAAGGTCCAGCACTGCCTTTGCTCCCTGGCCTGTCCCTTGGGGGTGGGGGTGGGGGTATTTATCTCCCAGTACTTGTGGCAACTGTCTGTGTCTCCCAGTGTTGCCAGGCTGAGATTCTGTGCTTGGGGATGCCGGCCAGGGATGCAGGGGTGGGTGTCAGCTTGGTTTGGGGCCACGCCCACCGGTGCTCAGGGCTTCCTCCTGGCTCTGTGCTCAGGGATCACTCCTGGAGGGGCTTGTAGGACCAGAGGTGGTGCCCAGGAGCCAACCTGAGTGAGGTGAGTTGCAGGCAAGGTAAGCGCCTCAAACCTGTCTTTTCAGCAGCAGGGTTGGAGAAGGGACCACCAAGTAAATGATGCTTGGAGGGCTCGCTCGGGATGGGAGATGCGTGCTAAAAGTAGACTGTGGACCAAACATGATGGCCGCTTGCTACCTGCATTGCAAACCATTAACACCCAAAAGGAGACAGAGTAAGAGGGAATGTGCCTGCCACAGAGGCAAGGGATGGGGGGATGGGATGGGGTGGTGGGAGGGATACTGGGAACATTGGTGGTGGAAAATGGGCACTGGTGGAGGGATGGGTGCTCGATCACTGTGTGACTGAAGCGTAAGCACAGAAGTTTGTAAGTCTGTAACTGTATCTCACGGTGATTCATTAAAATAAAATTTTTTTAAAAAAATCTGTCTTTTCTGTCCCTGTTAGGTGACTTTAGAGCAGAAGTCAAATGAATGTGTAGGCCACAGCTGCCAGGAACATCCCCCAGAGGACATCCCCCTGTGTCCTGGTCACCAACACAATTGGCATGAGATATGCCAGGGGTGGCTTAAGGTGGTGGATTGGGGTGTTAATCAAGTAAGATTGGGGGGTCCAGAAGACATCTCAGAGGGATGGAGCATTTGTTCTGTTCCTGCCCCATCCCCAGCCTTCCTAGTGCCCCCCCCCAAAAAAAACCAGGGTAGGACCCCAGGTCTCGCGAGGTCAGGGCGGGGGGGGGGGGGAATGCTGGAAAATGAGGAGTAAAGTAGAAAGATGGAGAGGGGGTGTCTGGACTCCCCAGGCCGGGTGAGACCATCTCCCTCTCAGAAAGCAAGAGGGCAGCCTGGTAGGGTCACTGTACTGGCCTTGGTCACTGCACTGAGGTGGTGATGCTGATCTTAGATCACCGATGAAAACCACAGGGGTGGAGGACAGGGGGAAAGGCCGGGGTGTGAAGGGCTCATTCAGGGGTCCTGTGGTCAGCACACAGCAGTAGAGTTCTTGGTTTTATTTGAACATGCCATAGAAATG